ACTGTAAGTGGATGGAACATTCAGAGCGTTGACAGAGGGTGTGCAGATGCTGCCAGATTTAGCACACCACTTTTCCGATTGGTTGGTAGGGCTGTATGAGAGGCGCATGACTGCTGACCTGGAATCAGTGTATACATGGATGCGTGCACTGTTCGGAAGGCTGCCTGCTGTACGTAGTGAAACGAGCATGCCCAGCGCTGTGTCGAGAGCTACAAGCTCGGCCCTGTAGCTGGAACAATACCGGCCCGCGGGTACACGGTGGTCGAGTTCGGTATCACCCAAGAAGCTTAAAACAACCTAACTGTAACCTTCTTGGTATCACCGGTCTTGATCAGTATTCCTCTGCCTTCATACTCGGTACCGTGCTTAGCTAAATCGTCAGTCCAGACTTCTACATCGGGCAGGGGGAGCGATCGAATGGTAGCCTCTGCTGCTGCTTTCCTGACGGCTAGTTCATTAGCACGCTTGCAGTCGACGACAAGATCGGTGCTAAAAGTCACGTTGCATGATCCAGCCTTCTACGGTTGTGTTTGTGTGTGTGTGTGTGTGGGGGGGGGGGGGTAAAACAACCAGATCCTCACGTGGGTACGTATCCAGCTCAGTTTCGTCTACGATGTTCTGAGCATGCTTTTCCCATTTCGACTTGCCTGTCCGCGTAGGCAGTGATTTTGTTGCGGAGGCTATGTGTTGGTTCGTTGCAGGCAGACGCATGGACTTCTCGAGTAAGATGGCAGTCAAGGCATCAGCTCTATGCCTTAGTTGTAAAATGTCTGCTTCGATGAGGAGGCTGTCCAGACGAGTATCCTTTGAGCAGCAGTAAACATGTTGTATCAAAATGAAGACAAAAGAACAATGCTCAAGGAGACGGTGCCAGCGAAAAAAGACAATCTCAGACTGACTCTATGTGTGTTACGACGCAGAGGAATCAGACGCTTATCAAAATAGTGAAGGCAAAAAAATCAATATTTTCCCGCCCGTAGGTAAATTTGAATAGAATGTTGAGTTTTGGGCTCAACACATTTTGCGTCTATTGCATATTGAAAAACACATTCCTGTGTGGATTTTTACCGAAAAACGTTAGTCAAAGGCAAAAAAATGTAAATATATGCAGTTTTCAAGGACACTACAACTTTAGAAGTCAGCTTACTTTGGCAGCCATTTTCTAACTAATTTTCCATTAGACACCAGGTGACCCCCACCTCCTTCAGTCGTAAATATCTGGACTTCTATTCAAGATAGATATGAGTATTTCTTTCATCAAAAGCTAGGCAAAAGAACAGGCTGTAAGGTGATACCAATAACTCCATATACCCAAAAATTTGTGAGTGCTTGATTCCTCCACGTCCTGACACACATATTACATTGAAAAAAAGGTCTTGTTTAGCAGAGGAGATAATATCGATATGGTAGATTGTGAAAATGGGGCAGACCAATTGAAGCTTAAAGACTGAAATGTAATCACTCATTTCTGAAATGTGAACACAATTATTTCGAGGACAGATGTATGTTTTTCAATGTAGAAAACTTTCTCTTGGTCTGTAGTATGCGACATAAAAATTGAAATTATGATATTTGAAGCAAAAATGCTCTTTATTTAGAAGCAGGCCTAAGTCTTGGTTTGAGCTCACTTGTTGTTCAATATTACTGCTTGTATCTGCTGGCTGCCAGTGTTGGTCAGGAAAGAGTGAGTGGCTCTGGAAGCATTGGTTTAGCCTATGGGTTCAACACCCCTTTCAATACTGTTGGCTAAGGGTCTTTATGAGGAGGGACCTCCTAATTAAATGTTCATCTCTGATGTGACCGAACCAAATGGGAAGACTGACCTGGAAAATATTGAATATCCAAAAACACCTCACTGGGGATTCAAACCAGGGCCGGAGGCTCTCGTGGCCTAGAAGCTAAGGTGTTCGTCTCTCTTTCTAAGGTCCCGTGTTCGAATCCGGGTAGTGACCGAAAAATTATCTTCTCTAAAAGAAATGTCTCCTTTCACCTCCTTTTCTGCTCTCTACTAATGTTCTATAGTCTGCTTTCATCTCCACTTTCTGCCCCCACCCCGTCACCTCCTTTGCCCCTTCCTCTGGGCTCCTGACTCTTTCTGCAGCCTTTCTACTGCTACTCCTTGGCTCCTTTTCACTGCTGTCATTCAGCCCCACCCCTGATCTTCTGGTCGGAAAGATCTACCCCTAGCCTTCTCGGACATGGACGAAAAATTTCGGAAGTCCCGAGTGCAAGTTGCGCACGTTAAAGATCCCTTGGTGGTCCAAAATCGATAAGAGTAGGCTTTGGCCACCACCCGGGCAAGATTCAAAATTTCCCACCTACTGAAAATGTTTGGTGTGTCTCACGCGCTCATATGACCTTATGCAGTTGCGAGCGCCGTGAAACACTTACCAAAAGAACTACAGCCCC